CCTGGTACTATCTGCTCCAGCGAGCCACACTAAAACGCTACAACGGGTATAGAGCGAGTGGAATATCTAGGAAAATATAGAGTGATTGCATTAGGAACAGCCGTACAGAAATGAACATCAATCTTAATAGTGCTCTTGACAGAGCTCATCAACGAACGTTACATCTTCCCCCGACACTTCACTGAGGCACAAGGTGGAAGAGAGGAAAAAGAAATATGATGCTGTGGGTATTGTGGTCAAAATTCACACTTGCGGCCAGGAAATTACCAGTTACCCATTTTAGGCTGGGTTGGCATGGGTGTCAAGATCAATTTGGAAAACAAATAGTCTTGATGGTTAGTCGAACTCAGACATTCGTGCTAGCAGGTGCGGAGGCTCCCAAGTGAAAAAAAAAAAATAGTACAAATGTCGATTATTTTAAAATTGTGCTGGTGGTTGGAATGGAGGGGGGAAGGGGCGGGGGGAGGGGGTCTCGCTCAGGCCCCTTGACAACCTGTAGGGTGTGGATCATGGGGTGAGGGAGAGCACCGCCTTCTCCAGAAATTTAAATAGAGTCGGCCATGAAGGAGAGGTAGTGGTTGAGCGCTCCCTAACCCCTGTGTTTTTGTTTGTGTCTGCGCCTCTCCTTTCGTGTGCTCTGAGTTGGTTTTTGACTCTGGAAGAAAAACGCAAATGCAGCTGAAAATAATATTTATAAAATTGGGTTTAGCATGAGAAGAAGTCTGAAGATGACTTAGCATTATACAAGCATGATGCTGTTATTTTAAGAAAAACCTCAGCAAAAGTTTATCAATAACGTCGATGTTTACAAAGCAGACCAGTTTCTAATTTGCGGGGCTGTGCTGTAAAAGAAATATTTATAGAGCTTGCCATTGGATAACATCAGAAACCGCCCAACAGACCTTGGGGGGTTTTGAGAATGTGATTCAGTCGATCAGAAGTTTGGCTGGATCCCCAACACTTTTTCTTCGGCCTCCACTGTGTCCTCTGACAGGTTATTGTTTGTTTATCTCATTATATTATTTTCACACACACTTTAATACTATATTATTTTTTTATTGCTTACTAGCAAATATTTGCTCCAGCATTATTTCAATAAGCGGGAAGTCTTTTTACACACACACACACACACACACACACACACACACACACACACACATATATATATATATATATATATATATATATATATATATATATATATATATGTGTGTGTGTGTGTGTATGTATGTGTGTGTATCGCCATTCTCCATTTCATCCCCAGTATTTCTAGAGCCTACGTATTTTTTTTTTCTGCTATGAAATGCAACATATTTATGCACATCCATCCATAGAATCTTAGACTGTATCTGTTTGAGCATTGTCAAGGCTTTTGCGCTGTACATTAATGTTGAATGTATGTAACATTTGACAGTTCGATTTTGAATTTGTTGTCTGTGTAGATGCTAATATTGGCCTTATTGTTTTGAAAGTTTTGGCAATTCGTATTTTTTTCTTTTACATTTCAGTTTTAACCTCTATCGTAATCTGTTGGGTTTGTCCAACAAACTAAAAACTTCTTATTTATTCGTGTACCTCTTTAATATCCTGTTACCACATTCATACTGGCCAATGGCAATTTTCTTAGATGAACCAAGTACTGCATTTCCCTATTTTTTAAGCCACTGCCATGTTAAAAAAAAATGATGACAATCTTTTTTTTTAGACCAAAGACACTCGCTCAGGGGCGCCGGACAGTTGCAGCCCAAGCATTTTGATCCCCCCTGAAGAAAAATCTAAGCTATACCCCCTCCCCCATATTATTTCAAAAATGTGTTTTTATTTGTTTGCCATTCAGTTCTTTAGTATTATTTATTAATTATTTTAACTTTTATTGTTGTTGTTTGTGTTAAAAAACAAAAACACTTAGCGCCCTTGAGCACACTGAACCAGAAAATGGGTAATGGAGTTGACTACATCACCCCTTTCTCTGCAAATAAAAATTCGCTGAAGGCCCCACCCCCATTCATGTACACCCCTCACCCCACACCCAGTGTTTTCATTGTGTCGGCACGCCTGGATTTGATGCATGGTTTGGCAAGTATACCCTTACCGCATTCAATTTTCAGAAGTGTGGCTAATTCCAAAACTGGTGCTTGGGCGAGATAGAAGTTCATATCCGTTTTAATTTCCTTAACACAGATTTGAACACACGTCCACCGGGTTAAAAGTCAAATGTAACAAGCACTCTGTTAATTGTTTGCACTTTTCCGTCTTTACATACGATCAGTGTTTGATTGTGCTGCAGAGATACGTCGGAATCATTCATTCATATCCTATTGTGCCATTTTTTGTCACACAGTCTAATCCTCCATTCAGGTCTGTTCTTTGCAATTTTGTGCACGCAATCCAGTCCAACCCCTTTGACGTCTCTCGTAAACGTTCACCTCAGAGTTTCTTTTGGATGTCCTTGTTTCCTCAGTGCCTCTGTTTCCCATGTCAGTACGACTTTGATGATTCTAAGTTCGTCCCGTCTCAGAATATAGTCAGTTTAGCGCCCTTTTCTCCATTTTATGAATATGCAAATCACAGTCCACTGCAAGACCTAGTTTTTATAAGGAGTAGAAAATTATAGGGAAGAGAAAAAGTTGGTAAGAAACAACAATTAGTTTATGTTAGCTTTACAAAATCGATCACATTAAACAAACAAAGGACGTTGCGGCGATTAGCCTTCATCAGCACATAAAGGACAACACAGTACACATACACAAATAGGCTCTAACTATGAAGTGACTACATAGGACTCTAATGTATAGAATAAACGATACTCATCTAGTGTCCCTGGCGAAAAAACTTCATTCAATGAAACGACGGTCAGCCTATATACCTCCAACGCGCAGGTAGGGACAAAAAAAGGGACGGGTTGGACGCCAACAGCGTACACTGAGTGTCTAAGGAGGGAGGGTTTAGCCTATAGGGCGTAACCGGGGTTGGGTTGTGGGGATGACCTTAGTCCATCCGCATGGAATAAAAGTGGTGCCTGTGCTTGCAAACAAATATCGACAGACAGACAGACAGACAGACAGACAGACAGACAGACAGACAGACAGACAGACAGACAGACAGACAGACAGACAGACAGACAGACAGACAGACAGACAGACAGACAGACAGACAGACAGACAGACAAACAAACAGACAGACAGACAGACAGCTAGATAGATAGACAGACAGACAGACAGCTAGATAGATAGATAGATAGATAGATAGATAGATAGATAGATAGATAGATAGATAGATAGATAGATAGATAGATAGATAGATAGATAGATAGATAGATAGATAGATAGATAGATAGATTAGATAGATAGATAGATAGATAGATAGATAGATAGATAGATAGATAGATAGATAGATAGATAGATAGATAGATAGATAGATAGATAGATAGATAGATAGATAGATAGATAGATAGATAGATAGATAGATAGATAGATAGATAGATAGATAGATAGATAGATAGATAGATAGATAGATAGATAGATAGATAGATAGACAGACAGACAGACAGATAGACAGAGACAGACAGACAGACAGATAGATTGATAGATAGATAGATAGATAGATAGATAGATAGATAGATAGATAGATAGATAGATAGATAGATAGATAGATAGATAGATAGATAGATAGATAGATAGATAGATAGATAGATAGATAGAGAGATAGATAGATAGATAGATAGATAGATAGATGGATGGATGGATGGATGGATGGATGGATGGATGGATGGATGGATGGATGGATGGATGGATGGATGGATGGATGGATGGATGGATGGATGGATGGATGGATAGATAGATAGATAGATAGATAGATATAGATAGATAGATAGATAGATAGATAGATAGATAGATAGATAGATAGATAGATAGATAGATAGATAGATAGATAGATAGATAGATAGATAGATAGATAGATAGATAGATAGATAGATAGATAGATAGATAAAATAGATAGATAAAATAGATAGATAGATAGATAGATAGATAGATAGATAGATAGATAGATAGATAGATAGATAGATAGATAGATAGATAGATAGATAGATAGATAGATAGATAGATAGATAGATAGATAGATAGATAGATAGATAGATAGATAGATAGATAGATAGATAGATAGATAGATAGATAGATAGATAGATAGATAGATAGATAGATAGATAGATAGATAGATAGATAGATAGATAGATAGATGCTTCTCTCTTACTGTCAGCTATCAAATAGAGACAGTAAGGATGCTTGTTATACAAAAGTAATCAGTCGAGTCCGAGAGTAAGACTGGTAACAACCAGAGTGTAAGGGAGCTATGAAGGGATAGATGGGAAAACAGTATGTGTGGATGATGGTGTGGATAGGAGAGTGTCCTGGATAGAGGCGAAGAATGACGAGCCTCCTTTCCATCGCCTAAAACTTGCACAATAATTAGTAGACCTCGTGTGATGCCCATGCAGCGTGACCTTTTCTAGAAGGGGCGCTGCGTGGTCTCTAGGCATGGTGTCCGCCTCGAGTGCTAGAGGTTCCGGGTTGGGATTTTTTTTAGATGGACTTGGACTTCTAGTAATTCCCTCTGGTTTTGGGTAGTGAGATCGGACACGCGTGTGCTTTGTTGCACATGTAAAAAAAAAAAAAAAATCCCTTGGCAGTTGGAAATCTAAAAGAGTAGCCTTACGGCGCTGCCCGGGCAAAATTTTGTGTTAAAAATCTACCCAAAGTATTTCAGGATCCTCGTCGGTGTTACAGAGCCTGTGCACTGTGCTGAGCTTCTTAAGACTCAGACTTGGGTTAGAAGAAGAACGGAGCACTTATGGCTTAGTGTGTCATGATGTTGATCTGTTGTTCAAAACCTCAAAACCTTTTCTAGAGCTGCTTTGTTAGCGGCAAAAGGAAATGTTACAATAATACGTTACGAACAATGCAAATCTCTGTAATAAAAAAATAGTAAATAAAACGTCTTACTCTATCTTTATGCTCCACAACAACATATTCAGTGCTGCCATGACTTGAAGGACGACCACGCTCAGTGTCTGATTCGTCATTATGCTTATGCTCTCGATAATTGTCGCTACGGTAATCTTTGTTGTCCAATATGTGATTCAGATTTATTCGAATCTCCTCCTCCTGTCTGAAACGTTTCTGGATGGTGTCTTCATCTCTCTGCCACCAGTCGTTGTATCGACTTGACGCGATAGAGAATAGGCTACTTAGAATGATCACAGTAAACAGATATACATGCACTGAAGCCATAACTGCAATGTGTCAGATGCAACACAGTTGTAATTTATCAACTCGATTAACGATTGTCAAAAATTCCCAAAGAATCTACCGAATAATGTAGACACAGAGGACAGTTTGTTCTTTGACTAACCACAGTCAAGAGTTGTTTTCATACCTGTATGAAATAATGTGTTGTTACTGTATATAAGACGTTGTCTGTCGGTCTATATGTCTATGTTAGTTTGTGAATATGTGTGTGTGGAGTGGTCTGTGAAAGTATGTCTCCTATGGCCTGTCGTTTTGGATATGTGTTCGTTTGTTTGTCTGTCGGTCTGTGTACATGTATATGCGATTTTTGGTAGCATTTTTTCAATTATCATTTGTCTACCTCATTGGCTGCTTGTATATCTACCTAGATAGTTTTTTTTTTTTAAATCTAGCAACACATGTAAAAACAAAAAATGTTCCTACCACCATTAGCTGAGTGGATACAGTTACAGAAAAAGTATGCAACTCAGTACACGATATTTCGATAACATCTTGCAATTTCTTATCTTCTGTCTTCTTTGGTCAATATCTGCTTATGCCGCTAGGCGTCGCAGTCGATCAGACAATCGGCAGCCGAGCCAGGGCGCGGTCAGTCACTTTATATGCCGTGATGTTATGCAGTCTCTAGGTGTCTGTGTCTCATTCAATCCATATTCTTCTCGGTCTTCCCCTGCCTCTTGGTGTTTCGATTTTCAAGCTGTATGCTCTTGCTTCTGGCATCGTTTGTTTTATTCCCATTAGATGGACAAACCATTTCATTCTTTGTTTCTCAATAAATGTGACGCTGGTGTTGTTCTTGTAGTTCCTGTGATCATGTCATTTCTCACTCGATCTCTTCCGGTTTTATTTAAAGCCATTCTCAATCATCTCATCTCACAGGTGGTTAGTTTTCTTTCGCGTTCTTTTGTGAATTTCCATGTCTGACATTGGTAACCGAAAGTCGGTATAAATATTGATTTATAATTTGTCGTTTTGAGTATACGATCATACCTTAATAATCACATATAATCCCATATCAATATAAGAATGTTTGAAAGGACCAGTTGTGTACAGTGAAATATACTTTTGAATCCACAGCACAGTTAGTTCGTCGATTATTACATTTTATTATTATCACATTATATTATCTATAACTAAACATTGCATATTATCTATGCTACGTTGGTTATGACCACCCCCCCCCCCCCACGTTATATATAATCCAGAAACTATGAGTTCTTAACCTTTTGGCTCGGTACTATGGATATCGCAACCCTTCGGCCTTGATTCCATGATCAATATCGTAAATCTGGGGAAAAGGTGGCTTTTCTGCCTACCACCGGGCGTGAACCCGGACCACAAGGAGCTCATCACCTGGTCGTTGGTTAGCCAACTACGCTAGAGAGCCGGGCTGGCTATCACATATTTATCTTGACTACCGCATATAATTATCAATAACTAAACATTGCCTAATATGTATTATACCTTGGTTATCACATACCTATATACCGGATTATCAAATATAATTCTATATAGTTCAAACGTAGCCCTAGTCCCGATTATATGTCTTTTACTAAATCTTGACAATAACCGAATCTTGACAGTCACATGTAATTATGTATCACTAAAACAGTGCCAGGTCTATAATGACTCAGAAACGACACGATGATAATCACCCGAAGTCCTCTATCACTAAAACAAAGCTAACAGTCTCTGTTATGCAAACAGCAGATCCTTATCTCACATACCTCACGATTCACAGACGCGTAGCCTACTCTCAGTAATTAATTCGAGTCTTATATATTCTTAGCTTATCAGAATGAGTAAGGTCTAAAGACACTTAGAGTTTATAACAGACAGTACCATAGCAGATACTGCCACTGCGTTGTGAAATATTAGTACTTTACGTATTCTAGGCCACACAAAGTGAGGTGGGATTGCCAGTTCCATCTTCGTCCTCTTAAATTGGCTGAGTCCATAGGCGCCGGAATCTGTGGACCGAGGTATTCAGGGTACCCAGACAGATTGTAGTGGTCCAAGTGTCCCCTAATGAATCACGTATAGAAAATTCTCGTTCTAGCATTTGTTTGTACATTTCGTATTATTTAATATATTTACTCATTATTTTCAGAATGGTATTATTAGTTTTACGCACTCAATTAGGTGTATTCTTCTATAGTGCCCTTCTAGAAATTTGCTAAGGGCTGAGGTAATTCCCTCAATCCCCTAGATTTTCTTTGTTTCGGCGCCCCTGGTTGGTTCGACCACCGAGTTATAGATGGTAAAAAACAATCTTGCCACTTCTGGGAATAAGAGCCGGACATCTATTTCGGAGAGTAAGTGCACTGAATATTACGGGGTTCTTAAAAGATAATTATCAGTGTGGTAATTTTGGCATTGTTACATGTTCACACTTAATTCTCTGACAGTTTTGAATAGTCGATTGTTGTCTTAGTTATTAGTGTATGTGTCAGCGTCTGTAGCTTAGGCGTTGCTAAATGTGGCCATAGAATCCCAGGGTTTGGCAGTCGCATCGTATCGTAAAAAATCCAAAAATTCCAAGCTTATTCCTTTTTTTAGACGCCTGAAGGCCTGCTTTATCAACGATGGTTCCTTTGCTATCTTATTTGAGTTCTGTTCCTTTGTGGTGTGCAATTACACCTGAGATTGTTCCTTTGTTGCCTAAGTTCGATGCAGGGGGTTTGGCAGCAGACCCATCTGGCTTTTAAGGGAGCTGGATGGTCTCCAGGCAAGGCGTCTGCTTCGAGTGCTAGAGGTCCCGGGTTCAGGCCCCGGTAAAGGCTGAGATTTTCCCCCATGAACTTCTAGTAATTTCTCTAGGTCTGTGGGTCGTAATATCGGACGCTTGTGTGTATTGTTGCTCACGTTAAAAAAAAATACCTTGGCAGTTGGAAATCGAAAAGAGTAGCCTAACGGCGCTGCCTGGGCAAAGCTTGGAGTTTAAAATCTATCCAGAAGTAGTAAGGGATCCACGCCGGTGCTTTGGAGTTCGTATACTGCGTTGAGATTCTTGGGACTCAGGCTTGAGTTAGAAGTGGAAGCGAGCACTTATGGGTTACTACCCTTGTACAATGATGTTGATCCTTGTTCAAAACTAAACCAAACAAAACCCACCTGGAGCTGGTTTCAGATAATGGCAGCGAAAGCCGACCGTTTAGTGGCATCTGGAAAACTACATGAAGTAACATTGCCTTGTGAAATCATCATACAGCCACAGACTGATGTTTTTTTTTCCTGCTTAGCATGTAAACGATACGCAACTAAATTCTGTGTATGCAAACAACACTATCCCCTCACCCCGTATATAAATACAATCTACCCCCGTGTGGGTTCCGGGGCCCTATTGTGGGAAAAACAAGAATAGACCCACTGCCTCCCCAAAAGCATGTAGTAAGAGTCGACTAACTGGGGAGCTTCCTTTGAAGTCGGAGTGCATCTGCCTGAGAGGCAAGGAACCAGCAGTCTGCATTCAATTGAATCAGATCTGTAAAACTGATGCACACGCAACACTCAGGTTCTGGAGCAGGACTGCAGTCCAGAAGTGGACGAACAACCAGAACTTTACACCAGAGTGTACAGCTGGTGAACGCAAAGAAGAAGAAGAAGAATTCAATCTAGTGTTGCCTTTACAAGTGCCCTAATTATAACTTATTCTGATGTCGAACAGGTTATCTGGGATTTGACCCGTTGGCTTGTCATCAGTATTTTTCTCTTTCTTCGCGTTCACCGGCTGTAAGCTTTGTTAGAAAGTTCTCGTTGTTCGTCCACTTCTGGAGTCTAGTCCTGTTGCAGAACCTGAGTGTTGTGTGTACAGGTCTAACTCTTTTGCATGCAGACTGTTTGTTCCTTGCCTCTCAGGCAGATGTACTCCGACTTAAAAGAAGTTCCCAATTAGTTGACTCCTAAGACATGCTTTTGGACAGGCAGTGGGTCTGTTTATGTTTTCCCCCACACCATGTATGTATGTATGTATGTATGTATGTATGTATGTATGTATGTATGTATGTATGTATGTATGTATGTATGTATGTATGTATGTATGTATGTATGTATGTATGTATGTATGTATGTATGTATGTATGTATGTGTATGTATGTATGTATGTATGTATGTATGTATGTATGTATGTATGTATGTATGTATGTATGTATGTATGTATGTATGTATGTATGTATGTATGTATGTGTATGTATGTATGTATGTATGTATGTATGTATGTATGTATGTATGTATGTATGTATGTATGTATGTATGTATGTATGTATGTATGTATATGTATGTATGTATGTATGTATGTATGTATGTATGTATGTATGTATGTATGTATGTATGTATGTATGTATGTATGTATGTATGTATGTATGTATGTATGTATGTATGTATGTATGTATGTATGTATGTATGTATGTATGTATGTATGTATGTATGTATGTATGTATGTATGTATGTATGTATGTGTATGTATGTATGTATGTATGTATGTATGTATGTATGTATGTATGTATGTATGTATGTATGTATGTATGTATGTATGTATGTATGTATGTATGTATGTATGTATGTATGTATGTATGTATGTATGTATGTATGTATGTATGTATGTATGTATGTATGTATGTATGTATGTATGTATGTATGTGTGTATGTATGTATGTATGTATGTATATGTATGTATGTATGTATGTATGTATGTATGTATGTATGTATGTATGTATGTATGTATGTATGTATGTATGTATGTATGTATGTATGTATGTATGTATGTATGTATGTATGTATGTATGTATGTATGTATGTATGTATGTATGTATATGTATGTATGTATGTATGTATGTATGTATGTATGTATGTATGTATGTATGTATGTATGTATGTATGTATGTATGTATGTATGTATGTATGTATGTATGTATGTATGTATGTATGTATGTATGTATGTATGTATGTATGTATGTATGTATGTATGTATGTATGTATGTATG